CTCTCAACCACTGCGCCACCAGGGAAGCCCCATTGTTTACCTTTGATGTTCTGAAATTTTATAGTTAGTGAGAACTGTATAGCAGAAATAGCTTGGTGTCTTCACAAATACAAGGGAAAAAGAAAGCTATAGATGGAGAACCTATAGATTGAGAGACTTAAGAGACATCAACCAATTATAATGTGTAGACCTACTAGGGATTCTGATTCAAACAAACTGTAATCATACATACATTTTTATGCCATATATGTAGCAATATGAAATTTAAATAATATCTGGATATTTGATTATATTAAGTAATTACTGTTAATTTAAGTTTGATATTGATAATGTGGTTCTAAATAAAAGGCCCCTTATTTTTTAGAAATCACAATGAAATATTTATGGTTAAAATGATATGATGCCTGGGATTTGTTTCAATATAATATGGGAAGAAGGAAAGTGAATAGGGGTATGAATGATTCAAGATAACCCATAAATGAATAAGTTTTGAAGCTGGTTATGGGTACCATTAGGTTTATTATACTATGTTGTCTACCTTTTTTAATATTTAAAGTTTTCTATTTAAAAAAAGTGAAAAAAAAGAAAAAGGAACCCTCATGCACAATGGGTGAGAATGTAAACTGGTACAACCACTATGGGAAATAGTATGGAGAGTCCTCAAAAAATTAAAAATCGAAAAATAAAAAAATATAAATACCATATGATCCAGCAATCCCGCTTTTTGGTATTTATCCAAAGAAAACAAAAACACTAGTTAGAAAAGATATATGCACCCCTATGTTCACTGCAGCATTATTTACAACAGCAAAGCTATGGTAGCAAACTAGGTGCCCACCAACAGATGAATGGATAAAGATGTGAGATAGATAGATATATATAGATATATATAGATATATATATAAAATGCAATATTACTCATCGATAAAAAGAATGAAATCTTGATATTTGCAACAACATGGATGGACCTAGAGGGTATTAACCTAAGTGAAGTAAGTCAGACAGAGAAAGACAAATACTATATGATTTCACTTACATGTGGAATCTAAAAATGCAAAACAAATGAACAAACATGACAAAACAAAGACAGTTATAGCTACAGAGAACAAACAGGTGATTGTCAGAGGGTAGGGCATGAGAGAGGAAGAAAGATACAGGTGAAGGAGACTAAGAGGTACAAACTCTCAGCTGCAAAATAAATGAGTCACAGGTATGAAATGTATAGGGTAGGGAATATAGCCAGTAACTAGGCAATATTTTTTGTGTGGTGACAAATCATAACCAGACTTATGGTGATCATTTTGAAATGTATAGAAATATCAAATCACTATGTTGTGTAACAGGAACTCACATAGTGTTGTAGGTCAATTATACTTCAAAAACAATCAACCTCATAGAAAAAGAGATCAGATTTATGGTTACCAGAGGCAGGGGGGTGAAGGGAGGCGTGACTGGATGAAGGCAGTGAAAGGTACAAACTTCCACTTATAAGATAAATAAGTACTAGGGATGTAATGTACAACATGTTATATATAATTAATACTGCTGTATGTTACATATGAAAGTCGCTAAGAGTCATTCCTAAGAGTTCTCATCATAAGAAAAAAATGTTTTTTACTGTTTCTTTAATTTTTTATCTATATGAGATGATAGATGTTCACCAAACTTATTTTCATAATCACTGCATGAGGTATGTAAATCAATAATTATGCTCTATACCTTAAGCTTATACAGCGCTGTATGTCGATTATATCTCACTAACTGGAAGAAAAAAAGTCTTAAAAAAAATAGAGAAACAAGGGCTTCCCTGGTGGCACAGTGGTTGAGAGTCCACCTGCCGATGCAGGGGACACGGGTTCATGCCCCGGTCTGGGAAGATCCCACATGCCATGGAGTGGCTGGGCCCGTGAGCCATGGCCGCTGAGCCTGCACGTCCAGAGCCTGTGCTCCGCAACGGGAGAGGCCACAACAGTGAAAGGCCCGAGCACCACAAAAAAAAAAAAAAATTAGAGAAACAGGAAAACTTTCAGAAAGGAAGAGTGAGAAAAGGGTCACCACAAGGGAACACAAACAAGAATAACATCAGGCCTCTCAACAGCGACGGAAGAGACTGGGAACGAGGGAGGCAAGGCCTTTAAATTCTGAAAGAAAGAATTCCATCCTAAAATTCTATATTCAGCCAAATTCTATCTACCTTAATACTTTATTGATTTAAAAAAATATACCTAGAAAGCAATGAGGAGATGGAACAGGAGAGAGTCCCAGAAGAACATGATAATTTTCTAAGAACAGACTCTATAAAGCAGCCAAACAGAATTCCTTCAAGGTTTTAAAAATTTACACACCCACCATCATGGTACAAGAATTTTTAACACCACCCTCCCCACTGCTGGGTACTATCAGTTTCTTTAATCTTATTATTTTGAGTGTTACTGTCTTTCTTACATTATGGTGAGGTGGAGCATTTTTCCTATGTTTGTTATCCATCTGAAATTATTCTTTCATATCTTCTTTGATTTACTTGGTAGATTTTTTCATAAAAACCTTCTCCTTTCTCTTATCAAACAGTAGGGGATTTAGAGAGAAATATATTCACCCTTTGCTGTAAATATTTTTCTCATTTGGTTGTCCTTTTATTTGAAGTGGGGATTTTACTTACATATGACTTTAATCTTTCCTAGTCAAAGCTATAAGTCCATTCCTAAATGTTTTGTTCCTTGGTTTTTATGATTAGCAGTAAGTCATAATGACTCAGAGAGCAGAAAAAATTAAACTACATTTTCTTCTTATTTTATCATTGTTTTTAATATTTCACTCTTTTTAATCCAACTGGAATTTATTTTAGAATATAATGTAAGATAGGAATCTAATTTTATTTTGTCCCAAATAGTTAACCAATCATTTCAACACGATTCACTGAATAATTTTTCCTATCCTTACTGATTTAAAATGATATACTCTACAAGTCTACTACTGACCTTTCAATTCTGACATTGAAAGTCTGGTCTTAGAGGTATTGTACTTTTTGGCCACTCAACAATCTTTCCCCTTCTTTTTTTACCAGCACCCTAATTTCTATATAAGAATTTATTTGGGGGGCTTTAATTTTAGCATGATTAGAGGAATTTACTTGGGGCAAATTACCTCTTTCAATCAAATGTTCTCTTCCAGATTAGACCTGAACAAAGTTACAAAAAGAATAAAAACTATCGGTACCAATTCACCTCAGCTTCATCCATCATTTCTGCTACCAAGAACTCTGGAGATGCTCTGGGACTCATATGATTTCTAAGCTGATTCCCCAACATTCCTTGGGATTCTGTGGAGATGATTCCCATATTATTCCACTGAATTCCCTATTTATGTTAACCAAAGTCGGTTTCTGTTGCATACAACCAAAAAAACACAATTGATATATTACTGAAGTTTTATAATCTGTACTAACTTCTGGTATAGTAAGTGCCCACTCATTACTCTTACCAAAATGTTTTATAGATCCTCATATGGATGAACTTTGGAATCTGTCTTCCCAAGATAATCCCACTCAATCTTTGATTGGAACTGCTTTAACCCATAATATAATCTAGGGAGGATTCATAACTTTATACTGTTAGGGGTTCCCAAAATGTCTCACCATTTTCTTTTAAGACTCTCAGTTAAATTTCATAATTTTTAATGTATTTGTTGTTAAATGTATTCCTGTTTTTGTCACTATGGTGACAAAAACTTTTTTAGTATCTTATTCTCTGATTATTACTGGTATATTAGAGTGTAAACATAATTGCTATATATTATTTTCTTCTTGACCTCCTTATTGAATGTTCTTACGAGTGTAATAATTTCAAAGATGATTTTCTTGACCATTTAGGGTTATTAGCACACCATCTGAAAAAAAATCAGAATCACACCCCCCTTCTTTCCAAAAATTATAATTTTTTTATCACTGTTCTTGCTTTTATATATTTCTTTGGCTAAAATTCTCAGCACAGTGTTAACTGACAGAAGTGAGTTTAATGAGAGTACCTCCAGCATTTTACCATTAAATACTCTTTATAAATGTTTATTTACCTTATAAGAATTATGAATTATGTTTAAGACAAACTTCTTTATCTATTGAAATACTTAATTTCCCACAAAGCAAAAGAAATTTTTTTAAAAAAATTAACAAATAAATTATCTATCTCTCAAGATTAAAGTGGTTATCAGTATCATTTACTCACAAAAATCATATTTTTTCATTTGTAAATTAATGCTCCTTTCCCATCTAAAGTCTAACCTGGGGACTTCCCTCGTGGCACAGTGGTTAAGAATCTGCCTGCCAATGCAGGGGACACAGGTTCAAGCCCTGGCCCAGGAAGATCCCACTTGCTGCAGAGCAACTAATAAGCCCATGCACCACAACTACTGAGCCTGCACTCTAGAGCTCGCGAGCCACAACTACTGAGCCCGCGTGCCACAACTACTGAAGCTCACGTGCCCAGAGCCTGTACTCCACAACAAGAGAAGCCACCACAATGAGAAGCCCGTGCAACACAACGAAGAGTAGCCCTCTCTCGCCACAACTAGAGAAAGCCCGCATGCAGCAATGAAGACCCAACATAGCCAAAAATAAGTGATATAAATAAAAATAAATTTATAAAAAAATAAAAATAAATAAAGTCTAACCTGAAAAGCACTCCACAAAACTATGCAGCTAGTACACAGCATTCAAACTATAAAATTAGAATTTAATATCTTTTCTTGTGTTGCTTCCTCAAACTTGTAACATAAACAATTAACTTCAAACTTTCCAAATATTCCAGGACAATTAATTATTAAAAATGAATCGTTTTTCTAATTAGGAGCAAAATATAATTTACTCAAATACAAAAGTTTTCAAGGAAGCCAATATTCAATATATATAAATGTCAAAAACTTATATTTTATTACAGAGTAAAACTCTGTCCTCAAATTACTAACTAGCCATCATATATGTGCTATAAAAGAATGAGAAAATATACCTCAAACTCTTTTCTAAGACGTTCCTCTCGTTGAGCGCTAAATTCGAATTCACTTGTCTGTCGACGTAAAAGGTCAGAGCACTCCATGTGTTCGGCTTCTAATTTTTCTACTTTCTCCTGCATATTTTGTAAAGCATTATCTTGCTCCTAGAAAATAGTTCATTTTTGTATCAATAAAGTTTATAAGCCAAGAATGACTAAAATTTATTCTATAAAATACAGTAAGCAACTAAACCTGTACTTCAACCATAATAATAGGTTAATTTATATAAGCAAGACAGGCCAAGATATTCTCTAGCAATGTTTCAGAATATACATGTGTTTAAAAAGTGCTACTGGAGTTTTACAACTTAAAAAATCTGAATAAGGGAAGGACCTTCAAGATGGTGGAGGAGTAAGACGTGAAGACCACCTTCCTCCCCACAAATACATCAAAAATACACCTAGGGCTTCCCTGATGGTGCAGTGGTTGGCAATCCGCCTGCCAATGCAGGGGACATGGGTTTGAGCCTGGGTCCAGGAAGATCCCACATGCCGCGAAGCAACTATGCCCGTGCGCCACAGCTACTGAGCCTGTGCTCTAGAGCTCACGTGCCACTACTAGTTAGACTGCACGCCACAACTACTGAAACCCATGCGCCTAGAGCCCGTGCTCTGCAACAAGAGAAGCCACCACAATAAGAAGCCTGCGCAAAGCAACGAGTAGTGGCCCCCGCTCACCGCAACTAGAGAAAGCCCATGCGCACAATGAAGACCCAGTGCAGCCAAAAATAAATAAATAAAATAAATTAATAAAAAGGAAAAAAAACATCTACATGTGGAACAACTACAGAACACCTACTGAACGCTGGCAGAAGACCTCAGACCTCCCAAAAGGCAAGAAAACCCCCACGTACCTGGGTAGGGCAAGAGAATAAAGAAAATACAGAGACAAAAGGATAGGGACAGGACCTGCACCTCAGGGCGGGAGCTGAGAAGGAGGAAAAGTTTCCACACACCAGGAAGCCCCTTCGCGGGCGGAGATGGTGGGGTGTGGGGGGAACTTCGGAGCCGCGGAGGAGAGCACAGCAACAGGGGTGCAGAGGGCAAAGCGGAGAGATTCCCGCACAGAGGATCGGTGCTGACAAGCAATCACCAGCCTGAGAGGCCTACTGGCTCACCTGTCGGGCGGGTGGGGGCTGGGAGCTGAGGCTTGGGCTTCGGAGGTCAGATCCCAGGGAGAGGACTGGGGTTGGCTGCATGAAGACAGCCTGAGGGTGCTAGTGCACCACAGCTAGCCAGGAGGGAGTCTGGGAAAAAGTCTGGACCTGCCGAAGAGGCAAGAGACCCTTGTTTCGGGGTACGCAAGGAGAGGGGATTCATCCCCATTTGCCCACAGGAGGCAGAGCACTGCCTAAACAAGCTCCAGAGACAGGCATGAGCCATGGCTATCAGCTCGGACCCCAGAGATGGGCATGAAACGCTAACGCAGCCATGAAGAATGCTGTATGCAAGCACAGGTCACTATCCACACACACACAACCCACCCATGGAGGCTATGCAGACCGCCACTGCCAGGGTCCCGTGATCCAGGGACAACTTCCCCAGGAGAACACACAGCACACCTCAGGCTGTTGCAATGTCGTGCTGGCTTCTGCCACCACAGGCTCGCCCCACATTCCAATTCTGACTACTGTCCCCTCCCTCCCCACGGCTTGAGTGAGCCAGAGCCCCCTAATGAGCTGCTGCTTAAACCCCCTCCTGTCTGGGTGGGGAAAAGATGACTGACGGAGACCTACACGCAGAGGTGGTGCCAAAGCAGAACCCCAGGAGCTCTGCGGACAAAGAAGAGAAAGGGAAGTTTCTCCATGCAGCCTCAGGAGCAGTGGATTAAATCTCCACAATCAACGTGATATACCCTGAATCTGTGGAAGACCTAAATAGACGAATTGTCCCAAAATTGAGGCAGCGGATTTTGAGAGCAACTATAGACTTGGGGTTTGCTGTCTGTGACTGATTTGTTACTGATTTTCATGTCTATCTTAGTTTAGTTTTTAGTACTTGTTATCATTGGTGGATTTGTTTATTGGTTTGGTTGCTATCTTCTTTTTTTATTATTTTTCTTTTTATGTTAATTTTCTTTCTTTCTTTCTTTTTTTCTCCCTTTTCTTCTGAGCCGTGTGGCTGACAGGGTCGTGGCACTCCAGCCTGGTGTCAGGCCTGAGCCTCCGAGGTGGGAGAGCCGAGTTCAGGACACTGGATCACCACAGACCTCCCAGCCCCACGTAATATAAATTGATTACAGCTCTCCCAGAGATCTCAGTCTAAACACTAAGACACAGCTCCACCCAACAGCAAGCAAGCTCCAGTGCTGGACTCCCCATGCCACACAACTAGCAAGACAGGAACACAACCCCACCCATTAGCAGAGAGGCTGCCTAAAATCATAATAAGGTCACAGACACCCCAAAACACACCACCAGATGCGGCCCTGCCCACCAGAAAGAAGATCCCGCCCCACCCACCAGAACACAGGCACCAGTCCCCTCCACCAGGAAGCCTACACAAGCAACTCAACCAACCTCATCCACTGGGGACAGACACCAAAAACAAGGGAACTATGAGTCAGCAGCCTGCGAAAAGGAGACCCCAAACACAGCAAGTAAACAAAATAAAAAAACAGAGAAATATGCAGCAGATGAAGAAGCAAGGTAAAAAAAACACCAGACCAAACAAATGAAGAGGAAATAGGCAGTCTACCTGAAATAGAATTCAGAGTAATGGTAGTAAAGATGATACAAAATCTTGGAAATAGATTGGAGAAAACAGAAGAAACATTTAACAAGGACCTAGAAGAACTAAAGAGCAAACAAAGAAAGATAAATAACACAATAAATTAAAAATTATCTAGAAGGAAGCAGGAGCAGAATAACTGAGGCAGAAGAATGGATAAGTGACCTGGAAGATAAAATGGTGGAAATAACTACCACAGAGCAGAATAAAGGAAAAAAATGAAAAGAACTGAGGACAGTCTCAGAGAGCTCTGGGGCAACATTAAACATACCAACATTCGAATTACAGGGATCCCAGAGGAAGAAGAGAAAAAGAAAGGGACTTAGAAAATATTTGAAGAGATTATACTTGAAAACTTCCCTTACATGGTAAAGGAAATAGTCAATCAGGTCCAGCAAGTGCAGAGAGTCCCATACAACAAAAATCCCAGGAAAAACACGTCAAGACACATAGTAATCAAACTATCAAAAATTAAATACATAGAAAAAATATTAAAAGCAGCAAGGGAAAAGTAACATACAATGGTTATCCCCAAAAGGTTAACAGCTGATATTTCAGCAGAAACTCTGCAAGTCAGAAGGGAGTGGCAGGACATATTTAAAGTGATGAAAGGGAAAAACCTACAACCAAGATTACTCTACCCAGCAAGGATCTCATTCAGATTCAATGGAGAAATTAAAACCTTTACCAACAGGTAAAAGTTAAGAGAATTCAGCACCACCAAACCAGCTTCAAAACAAATGCAAAGGGAACTTCTCTAGGCAGGAAACACAAGAGAAGGAAAAGACCTACAAAAACAAACCCAAAACAATTAAGAAAATGGTAATAGGAACATACATATTGATAATTACCTTAAAGGTAAATGGATTAACTGCTCCAACCAAAAGACACAGACTGGCTGAATGGATACAAACAAGACCTGTATACATGCTGTCTACAAGAGACCCACTTCAGACCTAGGGACACAGACAGACTGAAAGTGAGGGGGTGGAAAAAGATATTTCATGCAAATGGAAATCAAAAGAAAGTTGGAGGGGCTTCCCTGGTGACACAGTGGTTGGGAATCTGCCTGCCAATGCAGGGGACATGGGTTCGAGCCCCGATCTGGGAAGATTCCACATGCCGCGGAGCAACTAGGCCCATGAGCCACAACTACTGAGCCTGCGCGTCTGGAGCCTGTGCTCCGCAACAGGAGAGGCTGCAACAGTGAGAGGCCCGCACACTGCGATGAAGAGTGGCCCCCGCTCACCTCAACTGGAGAAAGCCCTCACACAGAAATGAAAACCCAGCACAGCCAAAAATAAATAAATAAATATATACATTTTTTAAAAAAAAAGAAAGAAAGAAAGCTGGAGTAGCAGTTCTCTTATCAGACAAAATAGACTTTAAAATAAAGACTATTACAAGAGACAAAGAAGGACACTACATAATGATCAAGGAATCAATCCAAGAAAAAGATAAAACAATTGTAAACATTTATGCCCCCAACATAGGAGCACCTCAATACATAAGGCAAATGCTAACAGCTATAAAAGGGGAAATAGACAGTAACACAAGAATAGTAGGGGACTTTAACACCCCACTTTCACCAATGGACAGATCATCCGAAATGAAAATAAATAAGGAAACACAAGCTTTAAATGACACATTACACAAGATGGACTTAACTGATATTTATAGAACATTCCATCCAAAACAACAGAATACACTTTCTTCTCAAGTGCTCATGGTAATTCTCCGGGATAGACCATAACCTGGGTGACAAATCAAGACTTGGTAAATTTGAGAAAACTGAAAGCATATCAAGTATCTTTTCTGACCACACAGCTATGAGACTAAATATCAATTGCGGGAAAAAATAACTGTAAAAACTACAAAGACATGGAGGCTAAAAACTATGCTCCTAAAAAACCAAGATATCACTGAAGAAATCAAAGAGGAAATCAAAAAATACCTAGACACAAATGACAATGAAAACATGATGACCGAAAGCCTATGGGATGCAGCAAAACAGTTTTAAGAGGGAAGTGTATAGCAATACAATCCTACCTCAAGCAACAAGAAAAACCTCAAATAAACAACCTAACCTTACACCTAAAGATATTAGAGAAAGAAGAACAAAAAACCCCAAAGTTAGCAGAAGGAAAGAAATCATAAAGATCAGAAATAAATGAAAAAGAAATGAAAAAAAACAATAGCAAAGATCAATAAAACTAAAAGCTCGTTCGTTGAGAAGATAAACAAAATTGAAAAACCATTAGCCAGACTCATCAAGAAAAAAAGGGAGAACACTCAAATGAACAGGATTAGAAATGAAGAAGGAGGGCTTCCCTGGTGGTGCAGTGGTTGAGAATCTACCTGCCAATGCAGGGGAC